TAGACCATCCGCCCCTCTTCTTCCCGAATTATAATTTGCATGGACCCGAGGCTGCGGATCCCAACGTAAACTCCACACACCATCACTCGAAGTTTGGAGTATGCATCGTGCTTGCCGCACGCAGGTTCAAACTCTGCAGAACCCGGTCTTTCTGTCTTGAACGCACGTCAAACTCTCCCTTCATCCTCACCTCAAAAGTACCCCGGCGCTGGTAAATATTCCCTTATTTTAGTTTTCTTTCCACGTGGTCATAAAAGCCCCATCCAGTCCCTTACCGCCTACACAAATGCTCCCCCGTTTTTTTCTCCATCCTTTCTCAGAGTTTGGTCCCCACAGAGCTCGGCGATGACGGAACCAGAAAGAATACCCAAAGAACGCACGGACGCGGCCACCACGCAAGAAGGAGGAAGACAGCAAGAGGTGAGGAGGACGAGGACCGACGGCAGTGCGCGCAGACGGAACGCAAACGGTTTTCATGCGGGAATCACACCGACTCCCCCGCTCGCTGGCAGGTCACCCATCAGGCCACCTGGGAGAGGCATGGAGCGGAGTTTTTTGCGTACACGGCAACGGGTAAATCCCGCAAGCACCACACACTACTCTGTACACCGAAGCACAGCACAACACACACACACCACCACACACACCAGCAGGCCTGGCACATGGTGTCGCTCTTCCAGCGTTTCTACCTCTGGTTAGCAACCATCGCTCAATTTCCTCGTCGGCGCCTCACCTTCACGCATACATTGCCCATTGCCTTCAACTCTTCGCGGCCAGAGGAGCCGTCGTTCCTTGCGTTTATGCACAGAGGGGTCCTTTCAACACACAACCCCTCCAACCAACAACCCACACCACAACGTCACCCGACGGCACGAAACGAATGACCACACACTCAACAAAGACACCAAACCCCACAGACGCCTCTTCGTCCCTGGTCCTGTTCTGAGGCACCACCTCTCGATCATGCCCCGCGCGGCGTTCTAGCATTTTCCTTATCTTCAAACGCACCCACATCTTCATGAGCCACGTGCGACCGAGCACACACGCTGGGGACCAACCCACACCGCCTCCCAACCAACACATGGGACCCTCCCGCCCTTTGGCAGAACATCCCCCCACGTTTTCTCCCTAGCTCGACCCGCGGCACCGTACCAAACGGTGACGTGTCCTTACAGTGGTGCCGAGCCGCATTACGCTATCCCCACCGCGGGTTCCCCCGCCTTTCTCTCTCTCACACAATATCAAACAGAAGAAATAAATACTATGAGGAAGGAAACAAACCATGTTTCCAAGACAGGTATAATGGCCGCATTAATAACAACGAACTAAAAAAAAATCGACGACACAGCCACACTTTCTTTGTCCTGTCACAACCGGTTTTCCCTGACCTCCCTGACTGGTGCGCGGCCATTTCCTCAACTCCCTTACCTTATCCCTCTGCCACAGTGCAAAATGGCAACAAGGCCCTTGGGCCATGTAGGCAGGCTGGAGCACAGGATTGACTGAGATTACACGACACAAACACCACATCCGCCATCCCATGCTGGAGACACATCAGTGGCTCATAAGACACACGAGACTGCGTTTCCCACGCGAGCTTGGGGGACTCGAATATTAACACGGCCCACACACACACACCAACCAGACACCACACACACGCACCACTTAGAAGCAAGTCCCCGCTGAAAAACATTTGCGCACGCAGCAACGGCTTTCGTAACTTTAGGAAAAGTTCAATCACCTCTGGCGCAGGAAACGGAAACTGTCAAGAGAACTTTAACACTTCTACACAACACCTTACATCACATCACACAACAAGAAGACTGTTAGAATTATAAGCCCTCATTATCAGGCCCTTCAGAAGGTGTTTTTCTTTTTACACGCACCTTTGGGCAAACCCGAACCTCCATCTTTTGGGGACCATGGAACAGCCTAACAACTAAACAACTTCGTGGATCCATACTGTACCCTCACCCACTCTTACACACACCAATCCTGGGCCATTCAAAAAGTAACGGTCAAAACCTGCCTAACCCCTAAGGAACAATTTTCAAGTTCCCATATCACGGAAAAGCTCCATTCTCTCCTCCATCTGGCGTTTCTTTCGACCCAGCCTTCACAGGTTGTGTTTCTCCTCCTACAACTTGACAAATTCCGAATTGTTTTTTTTTCCACTTTTGTGTTCCCTTTTTTTAATCAACCACCCAGGTTTGGTGGCGGAGGGGCCCGTGGGGCGGCGTTTTCAAAATAACCTTAAACGACGTGCCTTCGGATGGCTTGCAAGGACAAACGACTTCCTGGCCCCTCCCACGGCCACAAAGGCCACCATTGCCTTCGTTTCCGCGCCTTTGCTTCAAAGGAAGCATCTTT